CATTTGCAAAAGAAAATTGCAGTGCCGTTAAAACGTCAAGAGCTCATGCGGAAGATTTTTTCTTCCAAATTTTTTAGTTTTATTCTCAACTTCCACTTGATCTCAATTAATGACACTTGGACTTTACAACGTAGTTAATTGGCAAGGGTAATTAGTGGGGCTTTATTGACGTGATTTCGATAACGAGAAATGCATTAGCACCACGGGCGCACTCGAGTGGAATATTACCGTATTATTCCGACGTTTTTGCAATTGATCGCGCGCGCTAGTCAGTGGTAGAACTTGATTATCTGGGAGGAATTGAATTTTCGGAGGAAAATTATTGGGGCCATAATGACCCCATTCTATAGATTGGAAAATTTACCCGCAAGTTGAAAAAAAAAACGATCAAGGTAGCCCCCATAGCATCAGAGTTATAGCGACAAAAGTAAAAATGGTGTCGCGCAATGATCTATACTGATCTATAGAATCATTTAGGATTTTTGGAGGATGTACTCGAGCGAAACGAGTCATCTCTCTTCAATTAGAAGGACAGTTCCTCTGACTATCACATGGAATCATGTCCAACGCGTTTCACCCCGATCGTTAAAAAATTATCGAGCGATCGATGAATGATCTATAAGAATTGATTCAGGATTATTTCTGGAACTGCTGGGAGAAAAAGAATCATCTTTTTTTTAATTCTACGTCAAATTTTATGATCTTTCCGATGAAATCATCACCCACCCCCATCACACACCCCGGTTACCGAAATATCTCCAAAAGCATAATTAAATTTCCTTAATTGTTGAAAGAATCATTAAAAAAACTTATCAGTGACTGAAAAAATTGTCCCGTGAGCATCGTAAAATCAGTGAATAATGCTTCACCAATAAAAATAAAAATAATTTACCATAAAGTAAGTTTTAAATGCAAATTACTGATGAGTTTAACACACTGATATACCACTTGAAATTTATCGTTCAAATTATATTTAAAATAAGTATTTGGCAAGACGCTGGTGTCTTCCTGACTGCAAATTACCCACCTCTCCTCCACCTCTCTTCGTCCACTGAATGAAGAAAGAGGTGATAAATTCTCTGCAACATTTGCCAGTGCAGTTGTTATTAAATCGTCTGTAACATAACGTCTCAATGCTATCGTGAGAATCATAAAAAAAATAATCAATTGAATTGAATTATTTTCCGTTTTTATTTCTCTTCTTACCACTATTTATTTATTTATTTATTCATTGTCTTTTGTGGTTGACAATGGACTCATTATAATTTCCCTAAACAATTTTTTCCCGGAAATTCTCATTGTTCGTTATTTATTTGTTTCGATCCAATTTCCGCATGCACTTGGGCAATTGTCGCTCCATCAAAATGACCTTCAGAGGGAGGACGGGGAGGGGCTGCTGTTGGTCTCATTCGGAAGATCAGAGCATTTACCCACAAATTAAAAAAAAAACGATCCATCTGGGCCCCATAGGACGCGAGTTACAGCGGAAAATGTAGAAATGATCTAGCGCGCGATGATTTAGAATGATCTACAGAATCATTTAGGATTTTTGCGGGATCTAGTTGGGCAAAATGATTCATCTTTCTTCCATTTCATGGGGAATTCTTCTGACTATCCGATGCAATCATCTCCAATCCGTTTCCCCCCGATCGTGGAAATATGATCTAGCGATCAATGAAAGATCTATGAAACTTAATTTAGGATTTTCTACGGATCTAGTGATCCAAAACAGGTCGTCTTTTTTTCCATTTCATCTGAAATCCTCCGATCTGTTGAACGGGGTCACTATCGACCCCGTTCATCTAATTTTGGATATTGAATTTTTTTTTATTCATTACTTTGTCATAAAAATACTAGTTATAAGAACATTACGTTCAGTCGTATATAACCATTGCTTGCATTGCGTAACACGACTCCTCTGGCGTGTGTAGTGCAGGTATGAAGGCCTCGAGGCGACCGTGGCCGTATACTTGTTACTCGCCACGAGTCTCCAGTGGTTATAACCCGTGTTTAACAGACATACACTCGTGTCACTGAAAAAAAGATGAAAGACCATTATAAAAATTGAATTAAATTTTTATTACTTTTTTCGGTCAATTAGTGATAAATGCCTCCACTGGGAAGGGGAAATGATAACAATGAACGTGATTGAGGATGATAAGAACTGGAAAAGATGGCCATGAGAGTGATACGAAACCCCACAAATTAAAAAAAAAGACGACCCAATGCGCCCTCACAGAACCTAAGTTACTACGGAAACCGTAAAAGTGAACTGGCGAGAGATGATCTAGAATGATCTATACAGTCATTTAGGATCTTTGAAGGACCTGCCGGGGCGAAATGATCCGTTTCTCTTGGATTCCACTGGCAATGTCTCCGGCTATCCGATGGAGTCATCTCCAAACCATTCGCTCCTGGCTGTGTAAAGATGATCTAGTGATCGATGAATGATCTATAAAACTTCATTCAGGATTTTCTCCGGATCCACTGGAGCAAAACGGATCGTTTTTTTTTAATTTGTGGGTAAATTTCCTGATCTTTTTGATAAAACCACCTTCCCCCCTCCCCCACTTCCTCAGAAACTGGTTTCTCGTCATTTTTTCAGTGCTTTTGGAATAAATGACTGTTTTTAATTTGAAAAAATTCATTTTCCGCCCGGAAAAAACATTAAATCACCCGCGCACATCCTGCGGAAGTCCCTGCGATCGTAATCTCACAAAAAAAAACTAGGACCTTGATTTGCGTTTCCTGATGCACTTAATCTCCGTTGAAAACAGTTTTTCTCATTTATGAAAAAACCTCAAGGCTAGTCTTCATTCATGCGTCTATCTCATCCGAAACGATTTGAATTATTCTCTTTATTAACGAATCAAGGAAGCACAAAAAAAATTACACCGTGGACAGTGCGTATACTCACTCGATTTCATTCATTTGCCGGATAATCGTCTTGTTCCTGTTTGCAGTTAACTCAGGGCCGTAACAAGCAGCGCGTGCTGGCCTGTGGACGCTGTCAAGGTCCCTTCACTATTCCAGTTGCTAGAGTGACTCGTTTTTACCGGCAAAATCCGAATTTCCGTGGGTCATTCAATTCTCAACCTCGAGAAAATCGTTTCGGACAGATTGACCTCATTGTTGAACACAAAAAGGCCATTATCTCGGGAGCCACTGGACCGATTAAAATAAAACCCATTTCATTCGGAAGCTGAGGAAATTTACCCACAAACTAAGAAAAAAGACAACCCATTTTGCCCCCGTAGTCACTGAGATAATGAGGATCCAATTTCTGGTATTTTCATTTCATCAGTTTCCGGGTGCTTTCACGTTTCTTACGATATCTCAGGGTCTGTTGGGGCAAAACGGGGGATTTTTTTTCTCAAAATTGTGTGAAAGTTCCCGGGCTTTTCAATGGCACCAATTCAATTCCTCCAGCATCCTCTGGCGCCGAGATAATCACAAAAATGTGAAAGAGAATTTTTAAATTTTTCGGAAATCCCCGGGTGACTGTTTTGTTTTGACGATTTTTCCGGTAAAATATCCAACAAAATCTGTGCCAATGCCAAATGTCACCTGTTGACGGTACCTCAACTTCTCCGACATTTTGTTTACATAGATGGCGACATCCTTTGTTCGTGGATGAAATGAAAGAAAAAAAAAGACAGCGATTCATATTTACTTTCCAATGTTTTTTTTTTCATTATTTCTGAAAGGTGGACAGAATTTCAGTGTCAATGGACTCCTCTTCCTCCTTCGGCTTTTACCTTCTTTCCGTGTCACACCTTTTTATACACGGTACACTGTTTGGTGGAGGAAGACAACCGGAAGTCAGATTAAAACAGGGGGTGAAGAAGAAAATGGTGATTCATCAAAAAAATTGAGAAATACCGTCACTTTTTTCAAGTTATCTCACGTAGAGCTGTTGAAAAATGGGTCTCCAACTGCCGTTATTCACTCGAGATCTGACAGTGGGGTCAGTTTCGACCCCAGAATTCACCTGAAACAATTTTTCATCGGTCCACAAAACCTCGCTATATTTTATTTCCATTCAAAAAATTATGTTGTTCACATTTGTTTCAATACCTCGGAAATATGGAGTAGGAGGAAATTGATTCCGCGTCCATCGAAAAGCTAGGGAAATTTCTCGCGAAATCAAAGAAAATATTATCCGTTTTGCTCCAGTAGATCCCTCAAAAATCCTAGATCAATTTCTGTTGGTCATTTATCGATTTCTAGATCTTTCGTTAATTCAATCGATGGAAGATTTTGATATCTCAAAGAGGGTGGGACTAGGAACGATAGTCTTGTCCAAAGAACGCCTAAAAATCCTGAATCAACTTCCATTGATCACTCATTGATTACTAGATCACCATTTCCTCGTTTTCGAGATTCAATCAATAAAACATCAATATCTCAAGAACGGGGAGAGCTAAAAACCTGAACCTGGTCTCATTCGAAGCCCTGGGAAACCCCCCATCAAATTAATACAAAAATCACCCACTGTACCCCTCTAGACCCCCTAAAAATCCCAATTCAATTTCCATAGATCATTCATCACTCAATTTTCCCTCTAACTTCCGTTCTATGGGTCCAAAACAGACCATTTTTTTTTTTCATTTCATTGTCTACTTCCCAATCTATTCAACCCCTCCACCCCCAAACTTCAACCCCACCCCCTTTCACCCCCTCTCTCAAAAGGTCACGATTTTCAACAAAAAAAATGGAAAATGACATTTTTCATGATTCCGCTTTTGCAATCCGCCTCTATAGACTCCACGGCGACTTCACCACGTCCTTGCCAACCCCCCTGCCCCTCCCTGCCGCCCAACCACCCCTCCATCCCCACCCGATCACCGTAGGAGTGGAAATCCCCCACTAGAGAAACACACAATATTCTCCCCACCCTAGTAGCTCCGTTGAAACGCATCTGAATTCTCTCCCACTTCCACCTATCGCTATGTAAGTCACCCACATGTTCCCCAGCGGTTTCAGTCTCGCATCGGCACTCGGGAGTGACGGGAGACGATTTTTCGAAGATCGTGATACTGATAAGAACATTTTAAAAAACTACTTTAACCATTGAATTAGGTCTTTGAATTCATTATAACCTCAAAATTGAAAATTGAGATTCAACTCTTCGGATAAAAAATAAAGTAAACAATTCTGGTTATTATTTTTCGACTCGAAATATCTCACCATACGTCGCACATCATCTCCCGATATTTTTCTTGTTAATTTTTTACTTTTATAATAATAAATATTTAACGGTATCTGTAGGGATTTTAAATTGTTGGATAAGTGAATTGAGTGGACAATCGACAAGTTGGATTAATCCGAGGATTTTGTTGGATCATTGAGGTGTGTTTCCAGTTTGTGGCATCTGTCGAGGGTCATCCCAACCCGGAAGCACTTTTTATCGTATATGCATAAAAAAAAATAACAATAAGTGAAGCAAGAGGAAATTGCATATTTATTTTTCAAAGTGATGTTATGACATTTTTTATGATTCAAGGATAAATATTCTTTTCCGATCGTCTGGCACGCGTTACCTCGGGGCTTTTTAAACACCCTAAATACCACGTGAGTATCTTTTATTCCCTAGCCAAAAATCCCTAGATTTTTCATTTTCCCCTAGATTTTTTTTGCTCATTTTTCACGGTTTTTCCTCGCAGTTTTGTTTTCGTTACTGCAGTCGAAAGAAAATCTTTTTCAGAATTTTTTGGGTGCAAAGTGACTCGAAAATCCACCAATGACGTGTCAGGGATAAAAAATCCCGGGAAATTCAAACTTCTATTTAAAAAAAAATGTTTTTAGCCTTGTTTTCTGGTCTGTTCTTTCCAACTTTCGATTTTTTCCGTTCTTCCATCGATAAAAATAATTCTCAGAATTTTATGAGTGCAAATTGACTTCCAAGGATCCGCCAATGACGCGTCAGTGATAATAAATCAGCGGAAAATTTGAATTTTTATTATTTTTATACTCTTCATGAGAGAACGAGTGAATCTTGAGGTGGGGCAGGCGTGGGGCGTTGAAAAATCCGTCAACAGATCGGAAAATCTGCCCTCAAATTTTAAAAATCCGTTTTGCCCCGCTGGTTCAGAAAATATCGACGAAAAATTTTTTTTTCTTAAAAAATTGTTTTTCTGCGGTAATAAAACGCTTGGGGCAAAACGAGTCGTCTTTTTTTTAATCTGATGGTGAATTTCCCGATCTGTTGAGTGAGATTTTCAAGCCCCCACCCCCACCCCCTAGGTAGAAACCACGGGAATTGAAAACTTGATAAATTGAAAGTTATTTTTTTTACAAATTTCTTAGATTCAACTCTTTCTCGTTCTTTTATCAGTTGTTCGGTAAATATGAGATAATCAGCGAAAACTCCGAGTTCATGTGATACATAAACAGGGGAATTACGGGATGATTACGTGACAGAAGTGTCCAGAGTACGCGTCATGGGAGAATTTATGAATGAAAAAAACGAAAAACGAGTGGAAATTTTCTACTTCTCAGATTATTCCGTAATTTTTGTCATTAAAAATCGATAATTCCGGGTTCGACTATATCTCAATGTTCAACGCTTAATTACCATCGCTAATTATCCACTGTGCCTCACTTATTCACCCGCATTACCGTCAGTTTTGAAACTGGGAATCACGAGGTGACGGGAAAATTTCCTCATTTTCATAGAAATTAGCCATTATTTTTTTCCCCCCCCCTTCACTTTTTTTTACAACCAATCATGGTGAACACGTGTGTGTACTAAAGTCACGCTCCGTTAACCTTGAAGTTTTTCATTCTCGTGTTTACGACGTATGGAATATTCACGGGCATGTCGATGGCCTCGACGTCACGAGGATCGAATTATCACATTTTTAGAGCAATTTTCCGCTGTTTTTTTTAAATGAAAAAAGTAAATATTGATATCTAGAACAATTCTCGATCAATCACTGTGATTCCTTTTTCATCGAACAGGTCCGGAAATTCATCCATCAGTCAATTATATATAAAGAGACGACCCCTTTTGCCCCGTTGTTTTTTATTAATTGAGGTCATTATTGACCCCAAATTTTTTCAGCCAAATTTCTTCTGCAATTTTGTTTTGCTAAAATATTTTTTTGAGATTTTTACTGGGGCAAAACAGGTTGTCTTTTTTTAATTTGTAGGTAAAACATTCGATTTATCGAATGGAGTCTTTATAGACCCCATAAGCTCTCACAGAGTTCGAATTATCCCATTTTTTAGACGATTTAAAAAAAAAAATCTTGTTTTGTAAATATTGAGAGTTCCAGGGGGGCAAAACGAATTCTCTTTTTTACTTATGTGGGTAAATTTTCTCGACTAATAGAATGGGGTCACTATCGACCCCACATTCCAAAGGGGTTCTATTCTCGACGAAATTGATACGAATTATTTTCTCTCATCCTTGAAAAACAAAATAATTACGCCAACGACAACTCACAGCATTGTTTCTCCCTGCCAATAACAGAGTTGGCAGGTCGTCACGAGTGATGGCCCGATTCTACCATTGCGTAATGTTTGAGCATAGTCGAACTGGGTGAAACAGAGTGGATAGATAAATTCCTCAACGCTATTCCTTATAATTAAACCTGGCCATGAAATACCAAAACACTTATTTACGAGTTTTAACCTATTAAAAAAATTTTAAAAATATTCGGGGCATTATTTTTGGATATCAGGAGTCTTTAAAAATAAATAAGATGACTCAAAATATTTTTTTTAATTTTCTAAAACCACTATTTCACGTTTTTTTTCTTGGTTTCATATGTTCATATTTTGTTTTTTGGTAAAAATATCGCAATCTATTAGAGCTAGCGAAAATTTCGTTAAGATTTTATTTGTAGGCCTTATACTGCTCTATAAAAAAGTCTCTTATGAAGATTTCGATATCTCTCATAGATGTCGAGATATTTCCAAAAAACAAAATCCCAAAAATTGAAAAACAAAAAAAATTTTTTTTTGTTTAAAGTCGGAAAAAAAATTATTGTGCGCATTATTTTGACGCTTCATGTCTTCGAAAGATGTATATCGTATTTTTATAGTCATTTTAATATCACAAACACGAAGAAAAATGCTCGATAAATTTTAGCTGCGTCATTCATGAGTCGTCTGTTTGAACAGTCTGGTTGCGTATGTAGAGGTGGTTTCGATTGATAGTCTCATGTTTTTTTTTTACCTCATTCGTCCATTTCAACTGACGCAAATGTCCATTTCCGTCTTTTCTTTGACACCTAATTATCCTCATTCACCTACTTCGCCCCCTTTTTATTCTCATTCTTTTATTTCTCACATTGTCAAGTTCAATTATGCATCAGTTTGATATTTAATCATGACTTGCAGACGGGGGAACGAGTGTCGGTGGTTATTAGGAGCTCCGGTGAAGGTTTTTCCAGGTTTTTTCCCCTAAACATTTTTCTTTTTCGATTTACCCATCCGAGTTCAGTACAAAACCTTCGATGTCCCCCGAGGGAGTGGAGGAAGAGTGTTGACGATGGTCGCATTCGAAAGATTGAAAAATTTCCCATGAAATTGAAAAAAAAATCATCCATTTTGCCCCAGTAGAACCCTCAAAAATCCTAAATCAGTTTTCATAGATCATGGATCGATTTCGGGTATTTTTCCTTTGACTGTACTTTCAGGATGGGAAACTGTTCGTGGGAATGAAGGAAAAATTCCTTGTTTTGCCTCAACAGGACCCGTAAAAATCCTCGATCAATTTTTATGGATCGCAGATTTTTATCGATGTCTAGATCACTCCGGGATTTTCCCTTGTAATTCAATTGAAAAAAATCCGTTATCTCGAGAGGAGGTAGGGGCAGGCGCTTGATCATTTAATAGACCGGGAAATTTCCGGTGACTTTAAGAAAAGACGGTCCATTTTGCTTCAATAGATCCCCGAAAAATTCTTCTCATAGATCAATTATCGATTTCTGGATCATTTTCGCATTTTGACTGTATCTCCCGTTCTATGGGAGCAAAATGAATAATTTTTTTTTCATTTCAGGGGAAATTTCCCGATCTACAAAATGGGCCAGTCATCAGCCCCCTTGTACCCGTCCTAACGAGATTCTATACCTAAAAAGGCCTGGAAATAGTTTATAAAATTCTTTAAACTATTTTTACTCCTCTTCAACGCAAAAAAATAGTCGATTTATCACGGAATCTTAAAAATATATCACCAATCGTAAAAATGCCAATTATTCATGAAACTTTCCGCGTAAATTATTCATCACTCAGTCACGGGAATAAAAAAAACGAAACATCGCGTTATCTCTGGCGCTTCGTGCGCTCTTTCAAGTCTCGTAGCAGGTTATCATTGATAGCGGCGTTATCGTGATGTCAACTTTGTCATGATGTTGACATCAGCGGTGATATTAAATATACTACAAATTAGAAGGGAAAAAAATTTTGGAAAGAAAAATTCTTCAAATTGCTTTTTAAAAAAAAGATAATTATCATTTTTTGATAAAAAGAACTAGAAGTGTTTGAAAAATACGAGATTAGAAAACAATACTATTAAAAAACTTTTTTTTTACATTTTAAAAATAAAAATCATGAAATTTTTTTTTGAAGAATCATTTCTCAAAAACTGTTGATATGCAAGATAAAAAATGATTTTTTAATCATCTTTCTATTTTAGGAAATTCGTCACTGTCTGACTGAATGCTATTTAAAAACAGCACTGAAGGCATTTAAGCCTATGTTTCTGTAACACTAAAGGCCCCTGGAATGTAAACAAGGTGGCCGATGAAATCCGCATACTTCGTTAGCTCGTTACAAATTGTTTTGATATCCGCCGTAGGCTCGGGGGAAATTCCGTGAGTTGATGAATTACCGAGGAAACTTTATTGAATTACGATGTAACTGGACACAATGGCCTTTTCTATTTGCACTATGTGCCTCAATGTGTCCTCTTCGGGCGGATACTGCATTGTGCCGTTGTGTCATAATGGCGGAGGTGTTGAATGAGACATTTCAGATGAATTCCCAAAATTAGAAAACATGAGAACCAATGTTTTCGTTTTTCTTGAGATGAAAAAAAAAATAAAAACGCATTCGTGAGATGATTTTGGGGTCAATAATGACCCCAATGAATAGATGGGAAAATTTACCCGTAAATTAAAAGAAAGATGACCTGTCTAGCCCCCATAGAACGAGAGTTAGAGCGTAAAATGGAAAAGTAATTTAGCGGCTGATGATCTATAATGATCTACGGAATTATTTAGGATTATTGGGGGATCTACTGAGGCAAAATGACTCGTTTTTCTGGAATTCCGTGGGAAATGTCTCCGACTGTTCGGTAGAATCGCCTCCAATCCAATCCGTCCCAGGTAGATGAAAATGATCTAGCGATCGATGAGTGATCTGTAAGAATTGACTTGCGATTTTCTCGAGATTGGCTGGATCAAAACGGGTCGTCTTTTTTTTAATTTGTGGGTATATTTTCCGATCTGTCGAATGGGGTCATTATGGACCCTCTATCCCTCTTCCTTCAGTTACATGAGAGATGATGATTTGTTGAATTTTATAAAATCATTGATTCTATGGAAATTTCAAGTCCACAAGTCACTGCGAGTGTATGTGGGCGTGACATAGGTAGGAATGAGAGAGTCTCGTGGCGTGAAAAAACGATAAAACGATGGAAGAGGGGAAGGCAGACAGATCGATAAAATGGGGCGTCGTGTGATTCCGATGCGTTTGAGTGTTACTAAAATTCTCCTAAAGTGATTTCCAAAAAAAAAATGATCATCAGTGTTGAGAAATGTATTGTCACTTATCTCTCTGGTATTTACGTAATGGCAGGTGTTACGGATGTCAGTCGGAGCCGAATAATCTATTCTTATTCAGCGTCTAGATCCCTGGCTGGTTCTTTAACGCCTCGAGGCCTAATTTTATGCTCAAGTGAGACACGAAAAAAGAAAAAACGAGAGATTAAAAATAAGGGGGAGAGTTGGATGCGTTAACTCCGGTGCCAAGTCAACACAGGCAATGGTGCATGACGTCCTGTGACGTAAAAATTTAATTGCTGTTGAGAATAATCTTATTTTCCCAAAAAAAATAATTTCGAACATTAAATACAATCAGACATCAGTCGTCTGGTCATCCGCAATCATCAATAACATTGAAAATTGAATGATAAAATTAGCAAGAATGGCATTATAAAAATCGTCCCTCAATCAATAAAAATCAATGAATGCAATCGATAAATGGAATTGGCCCTCAATCAATAAAGACAATGAAAACATGAAAGCAGTCATTATGCACTAACACTGAATCAGACGCTAGTCATCAGCAACCCTAGCACACTAACACAGAATCCCTCTTGAATTATTACAATATTTTTATTTCATTCTTCAGCAATATCCAAAAGCATACAGATCCAGGTATTTTGACCACTGGACCAAGTCATTGAAATGACTCCTCAATCTTCAAAGTTCCAATACAACAAATAATTCATAGAGCCAGTCCCCTAATCATCGCCAAACCCATTATAACTGAATAGGGTCACCCACGACCCCAGAGCCATCAATAAAATCAATTTTCTCTTAAATTCACCTCTTGTTTTATAAACTAAAGAAATAAAAGCGCGGGGGGTAGACGCCCACGGAAGTCACCGAGAGTACGTGAGTGGAATAGAGGAGAGTATCGAGTGCACACAGAGAAATACGCGGGGGGGTTGGGTTGGTATAACGCGAGAAAGGGGCTGAAAAAAAAAAGGACGCAAGAGCATTCGGTGAAGAAGGGGTTGGAGACGCCGGGGCGTGGTAGTGCTGGAGAGAACGTACGAAAGCCATTATCCGGGGAAATACGAGAGTCGTTCGTCATCCGCTGGGTTCTAGAGCTATTTCCGCCATGTTAAAATGGAATTGTTCAGTTTGTTTCGTTTAAAAATTAAGAGGAAACTACTCACCTCGAGAGAGAACAATTCTTCATCCGAAATGAAAAATAACCAGTCTTACATTCTTCCATCTGTCTTACCAACTACCACAGACAGACCGATGAGAATGTGCCATTCGGAAGGTCCGTAACTTCCCCATTAAAATGAAACAAAAATCATCCATTTTGCCCCAGTAGGTCCTGAGAAAATCCTAAATAAATTTTCATAGATCAGTTATCGATCGCTGGATCTCTCTCATCGATTATCTCAGCATCTAGTAGAGATAGAAAGACAATTTTTTCTTCATTCGAAAGGTCGAAAAATTTCCCATCCGATCAAGATGGAATAATTTTGCCCCCTGAGATCCCCGAAAAATCCCAATTTAATCTTCATCGATCTTTCATCGAATGTCGGATCACTTTCACGTTTTGTTCTGTAACTTCCGTTCTATGGGGGCTAAACGGGTAATTTTTTTTTCACTGGATGGGAAAATGTTTGGCGGGGTCATTATCGACCCCAAGAGCTGGGACGTTCGTGTGATAAAAAAAAGTCGTGAGTGAAAATCTCAACCCCAGAAATTGAAATGACTTCGATACAAACAACTTTCCTCCTCTTATTCAGCATCGTTTGACCTACTTTTCGACGATCCGTGACGGCATTCAGATGTGAGGCTTAACGTTGAGTGTAAGAGGGGGAGGGCTATAGAGTGCGCGGCCGAGAGGGCACAATATATTCTTCTCGGTGTTTTGTTATCTGGAGCAACGGTTTTAGTACCGTGTGTCTGTTCGTGGGCCGTGTCGTTATTGATCTGACGCTGGTCGCACTCGACGACCAGGGAAAATACCAGAAGTCTATCGCAGGCCATCGTTGATGTATTTTAATCTGATTAATTTTTTTTTCAGTTATCGGGAGACACCTCTCACGATAAGTTGATGATAAAATCGAATGTAAGAAATGGGGGATTTTTTTTGAGGAAAGAAGAGAGAAAATTGATTTGCGGGAAAATATCATGCCTTGATCTCCCATTGCGGGAGCATCCATTCCGCCCCTCGTTCAGAGGGTGATAAAAAAAGCATAATTGCAGTAACAGTCGTAAAACTGTTTGCCAACTCGTGATAATGGGCTAGTACTTGTCTCCCGTTTTTCCTCATTTTATGATCTGGGGTAGGGGAGAGGGGGCAATAACAACCTCTATTAAAATCAATACCAAAAAGTGGGAGAAACCACTCAAATTCAGTCAGTGGACGCAACTCGAAGACATTCCTATTCGCGAATGATTTTTCTCTTCTCCCCGAAAAATGGAAAAAATATGAAAAAAATTGTGCATCTGGAGAAAGTCTATCTCCAACTCACTGAATTTTTTCAGAATTTATCGCCAATTTTTTCTCCCTCGAAAAAATTATTTATAGCATCATATTTATTGAGTTATAACGGTTCCATGATCCAAAAGCGACGAGTACTTGATGAAAGTTGGGTCGAGGGGTGGGTGGGTGTTAAAAGTGTTGAATTGATGAAAAAATCAGGGGTGGGTAAATCTCTCCTTTATCCCAGTGAGGATTCACACACGTTGCAAGGCCGTGTATTTTTAACTTTAGAAAACTTGCCAACCGGCCGCAAGGGGATCAATACCTGGGCTGGTCTAGCTGTCGGCTTTTCTACCCTATATACAACCCTCGTGAACAGCCACGACGCCGCCACCACCCCCACCGTGCAATTGTACGTGTGTACGTGTGTAAGTCTTCTTGTGGGCCATATCCGAGTCGTATTTTGCCTTCGTAACCTGCACCCAACTCAAATCGTGGAAAAAGGGGGTCACACATTTTTCATCCCCCTTCTTCAGCCCCCTCCCCCCCCCCC